ATAATATTCATAAAAATCATTCAAAACAATCAATTTTGCGGGGGAAAAAAAAACACATAGACTTGGATTATTGAAAGAGACAATGCAACAAGGGCACACAAATACTATAAAGATTAAGAGAACTTACCAAGATGCCCGCTCAAACGTCTTACATGCATTACATAAAATAAATATAAACCCTAATATGCAACTAAACACACACAATGCAAACCTAAGCCTTCTTTTATGACTACTAACATGATTTAATGCAAACAAAGCAATTAACACATAAAAGCTAAATATGTTGACTATTATACAATAATTAAATTGGGCTATATGCATGACAATATCAAGAATAAACTAATCTGTAGGTGTTGATTTTTGATCTCACAACTAAACATGGAATTTAGCTAAAGAGTACGCGACAGAATAGATTTAACCGAACACTTGCCAACAAGAAGACAAAAATACCACAGTGGCTTATCCACCTGGGGGCAATGATCAAGTCAATCAACTTATCACTCAAAGATATCAAACAAGTACTTAATGCACAAATAAAAGTATACTTTAGACCCACGGAGGTGCCTTACTTTTATAGCCAATAGTGCCCTCGTCCCCTAGAAGTCTCATTTCATAGGATTCAAGCACAATGCTTATCTTGGACTCTTAGTTAGTTATGAATGAACTCCTCAAAAGTCTCATCATTATCCGAACTAAGCTCATCACTTTTCTAGGATTATTATCCTCTATCCAAATATCTCGAATTCCGATATTACCACACCAAATCTCAGCAACACCACAATCATATCAAAAAATCTAGCTTGTCCACGTGGCACCTCGGCTAATACCTTGGCCACGTGGCATGACCTAAAAAATACACCCCCACATAACCTAAATATGCTGCAAATATAACCTAACTAAAACATGCAATAAAAAGCAAAAAATATGCAAATCTAAGAGCGTACATGATGATTATGCTAGACTAACACCCTAATCATGATCTTCTAAATAAAACATGATTAAAACTTTATGAAATCAGAGAAAAAGATGAACTTATTTGTTGGTATGAATATTAAATCGAAGAGCAACCAAAACTAAAAGAAAACTTGCTTGAATACTTTTCTTAGGTTTTATTTTGCTTTTATTCAACTTTTTTCAGGCCTTAGACTTACTTTTAGGTGTTAGAGTTGTTATGGAGGGATGTATTTTTTGAGCCTAGGGTTTGAGAGAAGGGGAGCAGGGAATTTTACACAAAAACTCACACTTTTTGCTCAAGAAGTTCCACCATCTGAAAGAGGAAGAAATGGGCTATATTTATAGGGTTAGAGAACTTGGAAAACAAGCCAAAGGGGCGTGCTAGGGTTGAACATTGCTCCCCCTTGCGCCTCCCTACAAAATTGCACTTAAAACTGAATTTTTGGGTGTCGGGAGAAGGTGTTGCCGTACATTTTCGTGGCACTTTCATATTTTGGGCATGTCTCTCTCTTCTGATATTGGATTGAGGCGAATCAAGCGGTGTTGGAAAAGATAATTCAAAGGGATACAATTTTGTGTGAAATATCAATTTCCAAATTTCAACTTTTTTGTAGGTGAAAACAGGACATCAATACGAACAAACAAACAGTAATTTTAGCAAAAAATAGTTTTTGGCACGAAAATGGCAATACAACAACTCTAATAACTTCAAACATCTTTAAGGTTGAAAATATGATACCTTTCATCATTGGGAAGCATTTCAAGTGCCTAAATCTTAACGGTCAGTCAAAATGAAGTGTCTACACCCATGTCAAATTCAAAATATATTGCCCAAGTCTTAAAAAATTTTGATTTGGACTTGGGTTGCTTGGGTTGACCCTGTCGGAGTTGTACCACTATGACCAACACAACATGATTTCCAATCCTATCGATCACATGTCTCTAATTAGTTTTCTCATTTTTTTTAATATCTAAATTCCCTTAAATTCATTCAAATATATATTCCCCTAAATTGAGATTCATATATGGGATGGCTTCTATCAAATTTTAAAAGTTTTATGAAAGTTATTTTTTTTATTATTTTTTTTGAAATTCCATCAAATATTAAGAAAGTTTCCTATTCTACAAACTTGGATTGTTTTTATTTATTTATTTTAATTTCACCAAATAATTCTATCATCACTTTTCAATTCAAGGTTTTGAATATTATTTTTAAGGACAAATCCAACTTCAATAATAAAATGGATAAATTAGTGATACCTCATTAAGCATAAGTTTATACAAGTTATTATTCTACTTGCAAGTGTTTTGTAGTTGAGGTTCTCGGATTTTTAAATATCTTGAAGCTGTAGGTCCACTATCCACGTTTTTTGTCACATGAATAGAAGAATTAAATGAAGAATAAAGCTTCGGACCTCTAGTGGGGGTGCTGGGGGTCGGCTGTGATTGGGCGAAAAAACTGTTTTTCCTTTTCTTTTTTTTTTTGGTTTTCAGCCAATGATAGGCTGACACGTCACTGGGGATTGTCAGTGGGAGTCACCCTACTGGGGGGTCAGAAGCATGACTGTTAAATGAATAAGTATAGATAGGGGGAAAAAAATTATAGTGTGATTTTGTCGAAGGAATAGTAGAGCTGAATGAATAAGGGTAGATCAAATACAAAAAATATATAAACGTGGATAGTGGACTTACACATTCAATATTTAAAAACTCAAGAATCTCAATTACTAAAAACTTGCAAGTTTCTATAAATTTATGCTTAAGTAGGTATTACTAATTTCCCTAAATTCTAATAGATTATTGTGTGGGAAAAAACTTACCACGCGAAGGAGATAGTGCTGGAAAAATACTTTCACATTAACTGATTCTCTCTTACGAAAACAAGTTACTATCCCTCCGACTGAGGTGGTTAGCCGGGGGACTCTCCTATGTCTAAGTCAATATTTCCAAAAGAATTCTACATGGAACTGTGAGCTTTAATGCCAATAATCGTGTACTTGGTTTCCTTTGTATTTTTTATTTTTAGATAATTTTTTTTTAATATTTTGGTTAATTTTTTTTATTTATATTTAGATGTATCTAATCTATATATACTCAAAAAGTATAAAATATTTGTGAAGAATTTTTTAAAAAATTCAATAAATAGAAAAAGGAATAACAAACACTTTATACACAATGACAAATGCTTCATACACCAACTTAGCATCACTAATATATCACTAATGACGTGGCATCATGTGGACCACACCATTGATGTGATAGTTTGGCTTTTGTTGTTGTTGTTGTTGTTTTTTTTTTTTTTTTTTTGTTTTTTACATTGCCACTTCATTAGTGGTGCTTTTAGAACTTTCAGTTTAGTGCTCTAAATTGGAACTGATACACAAATTACAAGAACAAACAAACAAAAAAAATCCCAATAAAACACTTACCAACACTCCAAATTGCATATGCAGCAGTACCTAACACAAAACTTCAAACTTTGTTCCAGATTTTCTTTGAAATCGCAAGAACTTGGTTACCACTTTCTGCCCAAATAGACAAAATGGGGTAAACTGAAACCGATTTGGGGCTCTTATATGGGGCTGGGGCAAAACGATATCGTTTTGGGATGAAAGTGGCGCAAAAAATGAAGGTCTCCGTTAATTCATAAGATGGAGATGGACACATGTATACATTATGACACGGAAGAAACATCAGAGTTTTAATTATGAAAATGGAAATACTGGGGTTTAAATTAAAAAATACACAAAACCTTGAGGTTTTTTTTTGTTTGTTAATTTGTGCTTTATTTTTTGAATACATCTAGATTAGATGTATTTAGAATTTTTTTTAAAAAAAGACCAAATTATTATAAAAATTTACTAAAAATACAAAAGACAAATTAGAAGTTCAAAATCTGATTTTAAAACAAAGTAACTGATAGAAATATAAAATTATTACAATATTTTAATAACCAATTAAACAATAATTGTGCATTGGAGATGCTATTGAGAGTGTAAGTTGAATCCAATTATAAAGAAGTTGGGGATGATTTCACAAGTTTTGCATTATGCAATAGTGGCCTATTTTGACAACAATGTTAAAAGTTAGTTTTTTTTGTCCCTTTGACATTGTAATCATCTCTCTATTTTTCTTATATATTTCAACATACTTCTCAAAATAGGCAAGTATTAATGGTAGGTTTTATCCAATTAGATTTTGTGGACTTGTCCTATTTTAATGACGTAGGCACAAAATATACGTAAATAATTTATAAAATGTAAAATTAATTTAATAATTATAATTATATAATTTTATTAAATTATTTTTTAATAAAATAAATAATTGTTTATAATATAATAATCTTACTAATCATTTATTTTTTTAATTTAAATTATAGATTAAAATTATCCAATCAATCACATATTTCTCTTTAACAAATAAATAGGCACATAAATTTTAAAACGGTGGTACTATATGCATCAATTAATCTACACATTAATATACCAACTAATATTATGATATAATTATTGACCATATTTATTATATAAGTTACAAATATTCAAAATTATACAAATAATATCACATTATCTGTTAATACACTAATATGTACATTAATTTGGGCCTGGCTTTGGTCCAATCCACCATCGGACTGGACCGTGTTGTTGGGCCCGTGGGGGCCCACCATGGGTCCCGTTTTGAAAATCTGAACCGTTCAATGTATAGAACTCGTCGAGTACTACATGTTTATGAAAAATCACGTTGATCGGATATCGATAGCTATGTGATCAAAATAGTTTTTTATCAACTGTTAATTTATTCACCGTTCATTTTTTTTATACAAAACTAATTTGATCACATAGCTATCGATATTCGATCAACGTAATTTTTCACAGCCATATAGTACTCGACGAGTTGTACACAATGCACGGTTTAGATTTTCAAAACGAAACCCATGATAAACCCCCATAGATCCAACAGCACGATCTAATCCGATGAAAGACTGGACCACAGCTAGACCCTATTAATTTATACATATGACCTTATTCATTTTAAAAAATAAACAATTTGAATAATAAAGTAGTAGTAGACTGGAGTTGAACTGAACAAAATTAACCTTGTGTGCAATTCGAGAGAAGCTAATACCTAAAATTGGTAGAGCTAGAGTTGAACTGAACACAATTAGCCTTGTATCCAATTGGAGAGAAGCAAATGTCTAAAATTGCACAAAGGGTTTGAATTCTATTCAGTCCAATTGGAGGATTCATTCATTGTTCCAATCCACATTGAGAGAGGTTCACTCATTCACAGTCAACTAGAGAGAATCCAATCTCCTAACGAAGGGGGTTTTCCACAAAATTTTGAAGTTCCATAAATGTCTCGCCGATTTTGCCACTGAAATCGAGTTTTTCCCTAATTCGCTTGGGATGTGAGCACACAAGACTCTCATCATCACTTATACATATACATATATATCTACATATATGTGTGTGTATGCTTGCTTGTACCCAGTTCATAATCTACTGGCGGCTTGCTTTCTCTGCTGTTTTTCACCGAGTTAGCTCACAATTCCCTCTATTCGTTTCTAGTTTCTTCAATTTTTAATTTGTTAAGATTTTTTTTTTTTTAGGGTTTGATGGTTTTTTTGTTTTTGTTTTTTATATATAGATTTTTGATCGCTCATTTGGTTTCAGGACCATTACATACATATACTGCATTGTTAAATTTTGCTGATTGTTTAAGAGGGGAAGATGGATATGGTGTCGACTTGCAAGGTATGTCGCATTTTAACTCAATTTTTATTATAATAGTTGTGCGATTGTAGGTTCATTTAGTTTGGATTGGGTTTTTTGATGATCGATTATTCAATTTTTTTTTTAATTTTTAATTTTTATTTTAATTTTTGGAAGAAATGTTGGTAGAACCCTGAATATATGAGAACCACTGTTACTTTTTTGATTGAATGACTTTTATGGGTAGTGTTTGGTTCACTGTATTCAAGGAATGGAATGGAATGGAATGATCATTCGTTCACTATCATTCACTTACAATGGTGAATGATGATTCAATTTGCAGTGCATTTTCCATAATTTTTTGAGTGAACCAAACACGAGAATGGACATTATGATAGAATGATCATTCCAGTCCACCTAGTGAACCATACAATTCCTTTTATTACATTTACTTATGTTTGTGATCGTGGTGTACACACACACATATATATATATTTTGATACCCATTACTCTTCGTTTTAGTCCTTCTTAGATTGTTTTTGGTTGCACTAAAATTTATATTCTGAAGTTGCAATATCATTAGTTTTGCACTCTTTATTTTACTATGCTTCTTGGGTTTGTTTGAGTGTATAAATTCCCTACTTGTCTTGCATTTTGGATAATACAAATAGTTGTATGCTTATCTTTCAGAAAAAGTTGGCTTATTTTCGAATTAAAGAGCTTAAGGATGTCCTCACGCAGCTTGGTATTTCAAAGCAAGGGAAAAAACAGGTATGCTGTTAGACATATGTTACACTTTACAATGTTCACTTTTCTTTTATGTATGTTCTGTTACTTCTTCATGTTACTCATTAGTCTTGAAAAAAAAAAAAAACACTAATAAAAGAAAAAAAAATTGTCCCACTCGTACTGGCATTTAAACATTGTTTTTGATTCTTCATTTGCAAGTATGTATTATTATATAATGTTGGGGTTTTGTTGGTTATTTTTGACGGATTGTTGCTGCTTTAATATATGGTTCTTGGTCACTGCCATTCTGTTCCTCGGTTGAAGTTTGGGCTTTAGAAGGGTAGGCAAGTAGGGGTGTGCGCGGTGCGGATCGGTGCGGTTTGAGGGAAAAATAGAAACTGTATGGTGGGTGGCGGATTGATAAAAGTGTCACTAGAATTTGCTATTTTCCTTATCAAAAACCGGCGGTTCGGTTAGCAAATAATGACGGATTTGCCTTGGCGGTTCGGGCGGATTGACGGTTTATAAAAAATATAATTTAAATTACAAAACTTAAATAAAGAGTAAAAAAAAGACGAGAGATACCGTGACGTTAAGCATCTTGCGAAGCTTTCTTCTGATGGAGCAAGTGTAGCAACAATATGATAATATCAACGACTATGCCATCAGTTCATTACAAACATCTGTGGAAGCTACAATGATAAAATACAATACATAAAATTAATATCATTCAGTGTTTACAATATATTAAAAATGTTTACTGTTGAAAGGTATTTAGATTGAAAAGTGAGCTGATGTAAGTTTGCAACATGGCCAGAAAAAAAAAAGATTGAAAAGTGAATTGGAATCCAACTTTATTTTGGATTACTGACATCTTAAATTCCCTTCGAACAGTAATGTAATACTATATTCTAAGGTATAGAACAACAAGCAAAATTAAGTAAAAAAGAATTTTTAGAATCTTATAAAACATGATTTAATAGCGGTGCGGGTCGGTGCGGTTTGGAAGAAAAATAGAAACCGGCGGATTGATAAAAGTGTTACTAGAATTTGCCATTTTTCTTATCAAAAATCGGCGGTTCGATTGGCAAATAATAACGAATTTGCTTTGGCGGTGCGGCTCGGTGCGGTTTTGACGGTTTCGGCGGTATTATGCACACCCCTATAGGCAAGTACAAGTATGCTTTGTCAATATGTGTTATTTATTTATAATTAATATCTTATATATGTGTTTTGAGAATACTCAAATTGCCAGTGTATCCTTCACAAATGTGTTGTAAAAGTTTCATCCTCGCCTCATTTGAAACATAGTATGTTTCTTCCGCTAGGCTATCATTTTGTTCCATGCTCTTGTAGTTGTGCAAATATAACTAATTTATTAATTTGTACATTGCTGCTCTATGTTCAATGGCTTTCTTTCTTTAAATTTCCTTTTAATCTTACAATCATAATAAAGTCTAGCACCTAAAAAAAAGTAGTATATCCATTCTTTATCTTAATGTATCTAGTATCATTATTTGTATGCAAGTGGTTTTATGGAGATTGTTTTTCTGTATATATGAGGTTGATTTACACATCTTGCAGGACCTTTTGGACAGAATATTAGCCTTGCTTCCTAATGAAGGTAAGTTGTTCAGCTCTGTAGTATCTTTGTTGAAGTTGTTATGTTTTGGTGTTTTGGATGGGGGGTCAATACCTTGCCAAACTCACGGGTCACTTACTCTTTTAATCATTATTTTAATAATATTTTTTTTGAATGTTGAAGACTTGATGATCTAAGTTGACCAGGTCTTTTAGTATTCCATATTAGAAGTCTGAAAAATCACATAAAACTGTTACCATGCTTTATATTTCTTGTCTTTGTGGTTACTTTCATTTAAATTGAGGAAATTGCAATGACCATAAATATGCATTGTATTTTGATTCTTACTTTCTTGTAGTTTAGCCAAAATGTTATTTTGATTTTTTATGTTGTTGGTTTTATTTGCCTTCCAACATCAAGTTAAAGAGTTACTAAAGGTTAATTTTGTGCACTTCAACTTATGCATAAGGTATTGACATAATTGTATTAGTTCTTATATTGCTACATTTGTATAGCATAATCATATTGTTATACATGGTATTATGATGTGTTCATATCTTGTGCATCAGTGGTGCATGCCACTTGGCTTGATTCCCTTGCCACTTTCAATGTATTTTTCGTTGTTGACTTTCCTTTTTATCTTTTTGAATGAAATGCACTTTTGGAGGAGTCATACTGAATTGCCGTGTGTGCTGGTTAATTCTGTATCAACTTTAGTGCTGTTGTCTACTACGCATTGATGGATGAGGCTTACACCTAATTCTGCATTTGACCATTTTTGTGTTGTCTTTGGATTAGATCAGTTCCAAGTAAAGCATCTTGTGTATTCTTAATTTGATGTGCAGCGCCAGACATGCATGGTTTGGGGATGACAAATTTTACTGCGAAGCAAAGGGTGGCAGAAATAATTGATGATACTTATAGGTGGTACTTCCATTTAATATTCTGAATAGACATCTTGAATCATGCTGCCATTCTGATTTATTCTATTTTAATCTTTTTTATTCTAGCTCACCATTAGTTGCTGCCCTTTCTGTATGTGGCAAGATTATATTGAGTTGAGCTGAATCAGGTTTGTGGGATTTTTAATTGA